GGTAGACATGGGTGCTCGGTGAGGCCTCCCCGGAGGGTGCCACCAGGGGGCTGGAGGACAGGCATGGGCAGAGCCAGAAAGCCAAGCCTGGAGAGGCAGCCAGCAGAGGGCCTGGGCTTCCTCTGTGAGTCTCCTCCAGAGGCCCAGGCGCAGGACTAGGTCACCACCCTTCAAAGGGAAGACTCGGAGCCTCGCTCAGCGCAGCCTGGCTTCTGAGCTGCACACATGACCACGCCAAGCTAGGGTTCACGCGGACAGGTGCAATCAGCTCCTCGCAGACACGACGTGGCTGGCTGGGTGCAGGCACAGGCAGCGTTAGGTGTGCTGGCTCCCCGCGCACTGTGCTTCCAGAACGAATCCACTTCAGTAAAAAATCAGGTCTGCCTAACCCGTGTAAGCAGGTGAAAGTGGAGCTCGTGCAAGCAGAAGGCCCGAGGCACACAACCTACCTGTGGCTCCCGCAGCCCCGTGGCATGCAGCCCCCCATGTGCCTGAACGCTGCCTCTGCCCTACATACCAGGCTTGGCTGCCCCAGCTCAGCAGCATGACATCAGGGCAGTGGCCAAAGCTGAGGTGCCAGGCAGCAGGGGCAGAGGGGTGGCTGCAGGTGCAGTACTCCAGGGAGCAGCTCCGGAACAGGGCCAGGGAGCCAGCTAGGCACAGTGCTGCGTGGGTAACCCACCCATTGGAGGGGCGTGGGCATCTGCAGCCTCAGGAAGCCAGAACGCTCCTCACTGGTAAGGGGCAGCCTGGTGGGTGTCGTGTGTGGTGCCGGGGAGGAAGCCCAGGCCTCCAGCATGCCAGGCAAGAGTGTACCCCAGCCCTGCATCTCCCACAGCAGTGTGCCAGGGGAAGCTGGCAGCCTACAGCTATAGTGCTGGGGGGGATGTGCATGAGGCAGGGTCTCCGGCCTCAGCTCCCCAGTACTCCCTAGGGATCTCCTGTCGCTCTGGAGCCTCTCGGGGCTTACCCCCTCCTCCACCGGGGCTGTTTAAAGGCACCACCCAGAGGTGTCTGGCTGCAGGACTGCAGCTCCCCGTGGAGAGGCCCTCCCCTTGAACAGGGACAACCTCATAGATAACAGGTCCACTCCATTTTTCTGCCACAGCTCCCCAGCTCTGTCCTCCTGGCTTACCCGAGGCCCACCAAGTACCAGGTGGGCCCGGGACACAGCAGTGGCCAGGCAGGAGAGGCTCCCTGGGTGGTAGCTTCCCCGGTTTTCCAGCTGTGTTCCCCTACACTCACACCCTCTGTGCTGGCCTGAGCCATCCTGCTGGGGCAGCACTTCCAGGAGCCCACAGCACCTGCAGCAAGCAAATCCTCCTCAGCCCACTGACATGGAGTCTGCCCTCATCAGGGACAGATGCGGCCTTAGGGAGGCCCAGCACAGAGCCAGCGGATGGCGTGGAATGAGTGTGAGCTCTTGGGCAAGACTGTGGAAATGACTTTAAGTGGAAAAGCACAGGGCTTCTTCCCCAAAGTGAACAGACAGTCACACCAACAGGCCCATGATGTGACCACAGGAGGCAGGGTGAGTTCACTTACAACCCAGTTCACACCACCCCACAGAGCCCCAGGAGGCACCGCATCGCTGTCCGGCCCTATGGGGCTCGGGGCCAACTGCAGTAGAAAGCTTCCGTGGTCAGCTACGCAGGGCCTGGGAGGCTGACGGCACTGCACCCGAGTGCACTCTGCTCCAGGTCCCTTCAGGAAGCGGGCCGAGCCCTCAGCGCCCAACATCCGGAGGTCACCACCCAGAGAAGGGGGAGTCCCGAGCCTCGGATGCCTGCGTGGGTGAGGTCAGCAAGCTGGGGAGTGAAGGGCGGCTCACGGGGACTGCCTCTTCTTCCTGGGGGGCTGGGGTGGTCGCAGCTCCTGAGGCCCATGGGCAAATGGGCAGCTGGCGGAGGGCAGTGCGCAGCCGTCTGGGTGGTGCGTGAAGAACCAGCAGGCGCGGGTCTTGAAGGCCTCCGAGCTCGGTCCCCGCTTGGCCTCTGAGTGCTTCTCCCTCTGCAGCTGCCGCCGCCAGTCACGGATGTGGACTCGGCCATCCAGAACTGAGGTGTGGAACAAAGAACACAGGCCCAGCGATCACCCCAAACATCCATGCCACCAGTGGGCCAGGGCCTAGGCTGGGCCCACAAGAGTACTTCAGGTGGGGACCAGCAGAAGGGGCCAGGGAGGCTGGGGGAGCAGGCACCCGTAGAAGGGGAGGAAAGAGTCCCTCTGGCAGGCCCAGGAGACCCTGCCTGGAGCCAGCCAATACGAGAGCGGGGCACAGGCTGGTTGTTGCGGCCCTGACCCTCCAGGTGAACCAGCAGACCTGGGGCTACCATGTTTGCAGGCTGTGGTCCCTGACCAGGGACCCAGGATAAAGCCTGTACAGGGACACCTGGGCCAGGCGCTGGTCTGGACCACTCAGCATTGAAGGGGAACAGGGAGGGAGCGTGCAGGGACCCTCAGCATATGGTGCCCTGGCTCACAGATCTACCACCAGATGACCCTCTGGGTACCCACAGCAGCAACAGCGACAGAGGGGCAAGAGGGGCCTGCGGAGCCTCATGGCAGACACCAGCCCACAGGTACACAGGTGGGAAGTTACAGAGCAACAGCACAGGGAACCAAGCGCCAGCTGACTGTGAAGCTGGGCCCAGGGAGCAGGGCAGGCAGCTCCGGGGCACCAGGACCGTGTCAGGCCAAGCCACTGTGCCTCCCTCTAGCCTTTCATGTTGCGAAGCCCATGAAGTCCATAGTGCCACGGGAAAGGTGTGATGCAAGGGAACCTGCCTGGCAGCCACGCAGCCCCACAGGAAGGTGCAGGGATGAGGCCTCACTGTGTCTGTCCCTTGTGGGAAACAGCTACTAGTCAGCTCCTATCTTTATCCACCGAACGAAGGAGCCAGGGAGAGCTGCCTCCATGAGCCTAGGGACGGCCCGGAGGCCTGAGGTGCCTCCCTATAAACCCGAGCTGGTCTTCCCTAGCCTGACCCTGGCCGGCAGCCTCAGGTCTCTGCTGGATGTGCTCAGCTGGACGGCCATTATCAGAGCCCAGAACGCGACTTGTGTTTCTGGGGAGCCTCAGACCCTCCGGACCCCATATGGGCAGGGCCAGTGTGGCCTCTCCACAGAACAGCTGGCAGCTGGCCCCAGACGCAGACTTGGGACCCAGATTCCATGCCGAGACCCTGCGCTGGCCTGCAGACTCCAGAAAAAGGAGCCAGGGGGACTTCTAAGCCTGGCATTGTGCTCGACAGACAGCGAGGGGAGAGGGGCCCTCAGAGGGAGCAGCCAGGGGCCCAGGTAGGATGGCGGCCATCACCACCCCACAGTGCAAGGCGGCTCGGTGCCAGCCCCTCTGAGCACCCAACATCCTGGG